GAATTTGTATTTGGTTCTTTTTCAAATTTGCTATGCCAATTTTTATAATCCCCAGCCAACATGTTCAAACTTTAGCTTTTTAAATTAAAAAAATTATATGTTCCATAAATATATGATATCTATATATATTATAAAAATTATCAAATCATTATAGGTAGATATAGACACCATATATGTCATAATATCTATCATTTTAACAGCTTTAAATTGATATTAATTACATTGTTGTATTCCATTGAAATTGTTGTGTGCTGCTGCAGTTAGGTGTCTACCTGAGCAGCCATCTTGGATCCCCCTCCTGATATTAATTACATTGTTGATGTGAAAGAAAAATGAACAGTCACTCTAGAAAATGGGTTAATAAATTTCTTAAAATTATAAGCAAACAATTATCACACAATCTAGAAATGTCATTCTGGGCATTTTATCTAAGATAAATGATGGCTTTTGTTCATAGAAAAACCTCTGCATTTTATTTAATACTAGAAGCCTGGTGTACAAAATTCATGCACTCGGGAGCAGGGGGGGGCGCGGGTTGAGAGCTCCCTCAGCCTGGCCTGCACCCTCTTGCAGTCCAGGAGCCCTCGCTCCTTACTGCTCAGATTGCTGCTCCTTAGCTTTGCAGAGGAGGTGGGAGAGGCTTCCGCCATTGCCACTGTGCTTGTCAGCCTTGAGCCCAGCTTCTGGCTGAGCAGTGCTCCCCGTGGGATCACACTGACCACCAGGGGGCAGCTCCTATGTTGAGCGTTTGCCCCCTGGTGGTCAGTGCGATCAGTTCTGGTTGTTCCTCCATGCCAGTCGCATAGGCTTTTATTATATAGATAGCCCCAAACTGGCAACAACCCTCATGCCCTTCAACAGGTGAGTGATTAAACAAATGATACTGTAATACATTGGAATACTCAAGCAAAATAAAGCAACAAACTATTAATACACAGAACTTGGTTTAATCAAGAGCATTATGCCTAGGTTTTTTTTTTTTGGTTTTTTTTAAAGACCAATCTCAAAAGATGACATGCTGTGCAATTTTGTTCATGAAATGATTTATTTTGTTTTTTGTTGTTGTTAATCCTCATGTGAGGATATTTAAAAAAAAATACATATTTTATTGATTTTTGTACAGAGAGGAACGGAGAGAGATAGAGAGTTAGAAACATCAATGAGAGAGAGTCATTGATCAGCTGCCTCTTGCACACCCCCTACTGGGGATATGCCTGCAACCAAGGTACATGCCCTTGACCAGAATCGAACCCGGGTCCCTTCAGTCCCCAAGCCGACGCTCGATCCATTGAGCCAAACCGGTCCCAGCATCATGTGAGGATATTTTTGAGATGGAATATATATATATATATATATATATATATATATATATATAATATTATATATATATAAATTGATGTCAGACACATATGGATTGATTGCCTCCCAGAACTAATATGATGGGGGTTGGGGATCAAATCTGCAACTCAGGTCCATCCCCTTGACTGGGAATTGAACTCATGACCCTTCGGTGCACAGGCTATACTCTAATCATTGAGCACACCAGCAGCCAAGGCTGTAATGTTCTTTAAATGACAAAATTACAATGTGGAGAAGATATGAGTAGATTTCCAGAATTTAGCAGGGGTTGTGTCTGTTTTCTGCCAATACCATGTTGTTTTGATTATTGTAGCTTTGTAGTATAATTTGAAGTCAGGTAGTGGAGACCTCTGGCTCTCTGCCCCCCTCAGGATTTACTGTCTATTTGGGGATCTTTTGTGGTTCCATACATAGTTGATGATTTTTTTTAAAAAAAATACTTTTTGCTCATTTCTAAAAATACCTTGGTCATCTTATGATTTTATCCTTGCAGCCCACCATAGAAACTTCAGAATCTTTTTTTTTTTTTTTTTTTTTTTTTTTTTTTAAGAACAAAAGACACACTGGGGCCCTAAGTCCCCTTTATGAGCTCAGCTGTCTCTGCCTGGTCACCATGGAGACTGACTTGGCCAGGGAGGTGCCTACATTCCATTTTGCACATTGCAAGCTATGAACGCAGGCCCTAAGGGCTCCAACCAGGTGGAGAGGGGAGCGTGAGGGGATGCTGGATGTTGGAGCCTCTTCCTGTGCTCACCTGACTTGGGAGTCTGTCCTGGAGGCCCCTCCAGACAGTGATGGGGATCTGGCCTTGCTAGGAGCAGCGACCAGAGGAGGGCGCTCTCAGCATAAAGATAAGGGAACTGGGGACCCTGGCCCCTATTCCCAGGACAGTCTGGCTACTTGAGAGCCTTGGAACAGGGCTCCTGCAGCAGGGAAAAGGCCATGGAGTCCAATTTCCGCCCCCAGAGAGAGGTAACCAAAGTCCCCGGCGGGGAGCCGAGTACCTCTGCTGAGAGGCCCAGGACCCCGGTGCGGATGAGGCCGGGAGCCCCATTCAGGACTTCGGTGCTACTAAGTCCTATAAACCCATCTAGGACCCGGGAGCTGCAGAGTGAAGTGCCCTCCAAGGCCCCGCAAATGCCCAAAGATGCGCCCTCCAGGACCCGGGTCCCTCTGAGTGAATCACTTTCCAAGACTCAAGTGTCCCTGAGTGACGCGCCATCCAGGATCCTGAGCACAGCATCCTTCCGGACCCAGGGGACCCCAGGGTCGCTGAGCGCAGCCTCCATCCGGACCCCAGTGCCTCCGAATGAAGAGAGTAAAGAAGCATCCTCCCTGTCCCTGGTGTCGTTGAGCACAGCATCCTACCGGAGCGCAGGGCCTCCAAGTGAAGCGCCCTTCGGGGTCCAGATACCTCCGAAGACCGTCTCATCCAGTCACCAGATGAGCTGGGACCCGTGAGGCTTCTGGGTGGTGGATGCTAGCGCTGAGCACTCCTCCCAGGAATCAGGCTTACATAACCCGTCGGAGGACCCCAGCGTCCCTTCTCCCCCTGCCATGTATTTCAGTTTGATCAGTAATTATTTGAAGTCAGAGAAACCTACGAAGGAGGTGAGGGGGCTTATCGACATGACCGTGGAAGTGATGAAGCTGGACCACCAAGTCAAAGAGACGGAAATCCAGCAAAAGGTGTTCAGGAAGGAGACCGAGATGCTCCTCAATGAGAAGCTGCCCATCCAGGCCGAAATCAAAGTCATGCTGGCGAACCTGAACTACAAGACGATGGAGTACAGGAGTGAGATTGAGAACCAGTGGAGCAGCTACGTCCAAGAAAGTGGCGGGACCCAACCCCCGGGACAAGAACTAGCCTCCCAACAGACCAAACAACCCCCGGACCTTCAAACAGCACCGCTCTCGGGGAGTCTGGAACCCCTTCTGAGGCAGCAGCTGGAGGCCTCGAGGGAGATGACCAAGATCAGGGAGACACAGACCAAAGAATTGCAGGCATTGCAGGAGGAGCTAAAGCACGCCCGAGCCCAGACGGCGGCCACGGCCCAAGCCCGGTACCTCCAGGAAAAAGCCTTACTGGAGAGGCAGCTGAACGACTTAGCCCCGAGCTTGATGAGAGAGAAGAAAGAAAATGAGCTGAAAATGAAGGTGGAGGCCCTGGAGATGGCCGCGGAGAGGTGTGCTGCTGAGCTGCACCGCCTCCTAGCCGAGGGCCAGACGTTACCCGGCGATTTCACGCATCTGCACTTGTCCCACGGCATGGAGGCAAAGACCCCCCAAAGCTGGTTAACAATTCAGAAGCAGCATCTGAAGTAGGAACCGGGGTCTATCCAAGTGCCCCATTCCAGAGGCGAGGACCACAACAGGATGCTCCAAAGTACAGAAGAGCGTCTTCCCTCGCCACGGAATCAATCCACAGACATTTCTAAATCATCTCTGATTCCATAGGGATGGGAGCCGCCATCTTCGGCGCTGCATACATCCAATTAGAAGACTTGGGGATCTCATGGCTATTGTAAAAATAAATATTCATTGTGACGTGTTACTGAAGGATTAGGTGCTGTTTTCTCCAGCTGAATGCTAGATATTTGAGTGACCAGCTTAGTTTTTTTTTCCTTCTTTTTTAATTAGCTCTTGGTAGTAAACATGATGTTTCTAATCCTCTTCTCTCCCAATAACTTAACACCATTTGCCAAACACTCATACATGAAACCAGGTCGAGAACACCACCATGAAGAAGTGAAAGGAAAATATTATAGTACGATTTATTCCATCTACCTGAGTCAGAGTTCCTTACAGAAAAAGCACCTTAAGGATAATATCTCAGACTGACTTTACACAGTGCTTTCTGCTCAGCAATAGACCCGTTTCAGTTTTTCCTCACTCCTATTGGCCAACTCAGAACACAAAGGCAAAGTGTTTTCAAGTTTGTGCCAAGGACCAAGTAGCTCCTTCTATTTTCATCATGCGTGAGAAGGCACTCTAGTGATGATAAGACACAGAGCTAAAACGACATGATACCGGGTCACATTGCTCCGTGTTGGGGGACAATTTCTTTCACTACCAAGAGAAATTAAAGCATTAGTTCTAGATTAGACAGCACTTTCACTTGAGGCAAAAACTCTGACTTTTGAGTCCCTTCACAATACTACTTTATACAGTTGTCCTGGAAATAAAATTTAAGCAATAAGTACATATGCAAAAATAAAGTATTCCATTTTCTCTAAATCAGACTTTAAAGTTTTAAGGAAAGAAACTGGTCAGCCATTTTTGGAGGCTCTCCTCCCCTTTGCAGGGGTCACACCCCACTTTTGGAGACAGGTGTTGTTGCCAGAAAAAGGGGAAAGATTTCTTCATTTTTCAACCCAACACAGTCTCCGATTCTTGGATACATTTTTAGTTTATCCACGTCCCTAACTTTGAAGAGTTCTAGACTTGGATGCTTTTTCTCCACCTTTAGGAGGCATCCGAAATCATGGTTGCAATCATGACCAAATTTCATAACAAAATCTTCTTTGAAACTAAGGTGAATTTAACAGAAATTACAGTGACGTTTCGTTTTACAGTAAGTCTTGGTGGCTGCTTCAGAGCACGCATTTGACTTACTTTTATGCAAAAAGTTTACTTCCTTTTTATGTTGCTACATTGAATGTGGAGGAGAGAAGACCAAGGGAGATGTGAAGTCTGTCCACAAAGGGCTGAAGGACCAGCACTGGATTGCAGAAGTCAAATTTAGGACAGGGAGTGGAAATATAAAAATTCCAAAAATTAATTCCTGTGTAACTTGAAGGAATGCTTTCCTTGAATAACAGAATACTCATCAAGGGTGGATATTTTGGAGAGGAAGATTTTGACCGCCTAGCATTCATTGGTTCTGCTTTTCCACTCAGTCTGATTTCTTTGATACCTCTCTTCGGCCCATGCAGCTGACTCATCCACCATCTAGCGATGACATAAGACCTGTAAACTGAGCCTAAGGAATCAGCACCCTGATTCCAACCCACTCCCCGTGCTCCCTGTGAGTCAGGGACGGACACACAACCCAATTGAGGCCAATTAACAAAGACACAGTCTCAAGACTTTTGAGTTATCTAGGATGTTGAGCTTTTTCTGATGACCCTGAAGAAGGGAATGGGAGGCTATAGCTGCCATTGTGCACCACAAGGGCTGTGTGTTTGAAAGGAAGTGGATCTCGGGTATGGAAATAAAAACAAAAAAACAAAAAACAATCTCTAGCGACATAGGTTGACACTTGATTATGTCAGGATGGAAATTGTGATCTCAGATTTCATTCTCCATGATAGGAGGAAATAAATCCCCGTTTTCTTTAAGCTAGCTTGAGTTGAGTTTTCTGTCATTTGAAATGGAAAGAGTTTTCACTGAAACGGTTGGTAAACTCCCCGCTCACAGTACTAGTCACACAGAAGAGGATGACCAGATAGGAAGGGGATGCACAGATTAGAAGGGAGGTTGGCCTGAGGACCTCCCACTCTAAATTCTTGGCCTCTCCAGAACTGTTCTTTTTAAGTTTCTTTTGTTCTACCTAGTGGATTTGGTAGTTTCAAAGAGACACCAAAAACTCAGGGCCAAGCTATATAGAAGTTGAGAGAGGGGGAGAGAGAGAGAGAGAGAGAGAGAGAGAGAGAGAGAGAGAGAGGGGGGGGGGGGAGAGAGAGAGAGAGAGAGAGAGAGAAAGAGAGAGAGATTTGTTGTTCCACTTATTTATGCATTAATTGGTTGACTCTTGTATGTGTCTGACTGGGATTGGATTTCCAACCTTGCATATTGGGACAACACTCCTACAAACTGACCTACCCAGCCAGGGTTGAGCTGTATATTTAAAAGAAATACAGAATGTTTAATCCCAGAATGGGTGATCTATAGAAAGTTAGGTTATTCACTTTGCATTAAAAGAAGTTGTCTTGTTTAGCCAAAACAGGCTTCCTGACAGGATTTTCGTCACAGCCTTGGCTAAGTAATGAATTTCTTTGCCAGGATGAATTACTGGTTAGACCCGTGTATCATCTGCCTCTTAGATAAAGGAAAACCATCTGATTTTAAAGATGTTCCTATTCAGACACACGTGCACAAAAGAAGTTTTGAGTACTGTGCTTAGACACTCCATCGTTTAATCATTCCATGAATATTTATGAAAACTGGATCTGAGTTATATCACTGTCTTGGTTATTTTTAGGCCCAAATAAGCAACAATCCCCATCTGTGGATGTAAATGTTTTCTCTCCTTTGTTGTTACAATCATGTATGTCTTAGGTCCAGATGTTTATTATTATTATTTTTTTAATGGGAAATTTTCTTTTCCAATTAACTGAAGTAGCAAGTATTTAATAATGACGCCTTGCATTTTTATGATGTGTTTAATTTTGTCATGTTTCCATCTCCATTTCCTCGATGTACCATATAGTTAATTAGCATTTAGCATGTAGCAAGCAGTATGTTAGGAACATTACAAGGACTATGTTATTTAATTCTCACAAAACCCTACAAATTAGATACTATTATTGTCCCCATTTTTTAGATGAAAAAAATTAAGTTTTTTTGGGTTCAGGGAATAACTAGTTTGCCCAAAGCCACACAAAGCCAGTATTTAAACCCAGATGTTCAAACCCTGGAGCCTAGGCTTTAACCCATGACCTAAACAGTTTCTACAAATCCAATGGTTATTAGAAATTTAACATGGCCACCTACATGGGGATCTAGAATTATACCAATCAACTTTGTTGAAGTCATGATTATCCATTTACCAGAGGAGGAAAGCAAGTTACAGATAAAATGACATGGCAAGGTGTCGATTGCTTTATATTGGGCTACAGCTTCTTCCATTACCAAGAGAAATCAAAACATTAGCTCTAGATTAGACAGCACTTTCACTTGAGGCAAGAAATCTGTCTTTTGAGTCCCTTCACAGTACTTCATACAGTTATACCGGGAATAAAAGTAAAGCAATCAGTGCAAGTGCAAAAATAAAGCATTTCATATTCTCTAAATCAGACTCTAAAGTTACAAGCTGGTGGGCTGTCAGAAAAGTAACTTTCAGTCATTTTTGGAAAACCATCTGATTTTAAAGATGTTCCTATTCAGACACGCATGCACAAAACAAGTTTTGAGTACTGTGCTTAGAGATTCCATCATTTAATCATTCCAATATTTATGAAAACTTCCCTTTGAGGGGGTCCCATCCCACTTTTGGAGACAGATAGTGGGAAAGGATCCCTTCATTTGCAATCCATCAGGCCCTCCGCTGGAATCTGAGGTGGAGAGCGAGGGGTTTCCTGAAGACAAATATCGCGGTTGCTTTTGTGCCAAGCTTGGGTCCAGGGATATTTATTTTCCCAGGTTTAATCCCCAATGACTGGAGTCCAGCCCCACTCATCCTCCAGGCAGCTGGTTGTCTCTCCAAGATCCGGCCACATCTCTTAAGCACCACACAGCAAAGGTCGCCACTGCTTCCTAAATTGTCTTGATTTCCTCCTCCTTAGGGCATCTCTTTTTTTCTCTTGTTTCCACAACCTCTGCTTTAAAGTCATCCCACTCTCTGCTCTTCCTGTTACCACCTCCTACCCCAAGTTTGCCAAGGCTTACAAGATTCTGGAAAACCAAAGCCAAGGGCATTCTGAGGACAACTTCTGCTCTTGCACTTGTAGCACAAACCTCCCAGGAATAAGGGGGCACAAAGGTCTCACTACCTGGTCTGGTGGCATGTGAGACACACACAGGAAGAAGCTGATACCTCAATATCATCTTGCCACACGTAGCTCTCTTTTCATGTCCCTCTCAAAGAGAACCAGCACAACAGCCACGACTGAGTCCTTACTCTCTGCCACATCCAGTAGGTGCTGATTTCCTGTTCAAATGCTGCTCTTTAAAGGGACATGAACATATAAACGAAATTGAGCCAATCTCTGAGGAGGAACTGGGGATGCTTAGTCAGAGCATAGCTGGGTTACCCTGAATAGTGGGGCTTGGCAAGGAAGAACCAGCCCCAGTAGCTAGTGTAACTGGAAGTCAGATCTATGATCCATAAACTGAGGGAACTTGCTAGAAAACAGGTGGAATGGCAAGAACTGCCATTGGCTTTCTTAGTAACGGGATACTCCGAGAGGAAAAGAAAATGTTTCAGGGTATTGCAAAGGGGATATTTAAATACAATTAGGGGCACTTGATCTTTAAGGAGACATTTTACCTTTGAAGTCTATGTTCAGAAGTAATCAGGCGTGCTTACAGACACGTGGTTGTGGAAAACTAAGATGGCAAATACCAAGCAAGCTAAAATATTCATTCTCAGTGAGTTTCGGTGTGGATGTGTGTTAGAGCTTGATATTCTGACTAGCTTAGACTTCCAGACATCTGTCTTCTGAGTTACTATGAGGACTCCCTGAGGCAGAGTCTGGGAAATGCAGGCCAGCTGGCCTCGGGTAAAGGTGAAGTCTCCCAGCAGAGCGATGGGGTGGGAAGCACATGATCAAAAGGGACTCTGACGAGAGAGCCTTGTCTAATCCAGGGGCCAATGAAGGGGAGACATTGGAGGGCATTTTTATCTGTGATCCGGAGACCTCTTAGCGGATGCTGTTCTCATTGATAGAACTGTAGACTGGCACTGCCAGGAGGGGGCTTAAAAGATGGTCTACTTCTAAAGTGTTCATGTCACACATGGGGAATGAGGTGTGGAAAGGGCAGAGAACTTGCCCGACATCAGAGCGATTAGTGATTACACCTGGAACAAAGCCTCCTCTGCAGCCTTCCCGCTCCTTCCACCGCTTGGCGCGGGGAGACCGGGGAGGGCGTGCTTCCCTGCAGGAGTGTCTTCCCAGGGCATTGGTGTCAGGTCAAGATCTGAGACAATAATACGTTTGGAACATTCTGCCAGGCTAGGCTGAAGGGGAGGGGACTCCTCTTGTCTGCTGCTTTGTGTTTGAGAGCAAGCATGTCTCAACATTTGTGCTACTCCAAAAATATGTCATAGGAACCCCCCAGGGACCTTGTTACAATGCAGGTTCTGGGAGGCTGGGCTGGAGCCTGTGATTCTGCATTTCTGCCCCCCCCCCATCCCTCCATCCTCTTCTGCTGCTCCAGCTTTTACACAGCTTACTGGTGTACAGGTGCGTAGCCAGAGCCCAGGCTTAGACTTCAAGGACTCAAGGGCTGGCCAGACCACCTTCTGTCTCTCAACGATCCGCACCTGGTCCGCTCACCTGGCTCAGGCCTCACAGTCCCCGTGAGCTCTTATAAGGAGAATGAAGCCAGGCCGCCATTTTCAATGCGACTGACCCCCTTCCCGCCCAGAGGAAGCTGCCGGAGTAAGAGTTTGGTAACATTCTGCTTTGGCGAGATCTCCCAGGAGATTCCAGGTAAGGGAATTTGGCAGCAGGCACTGCTGAGCTATCGGTTTCTACTGCATTGAATTCAAAATCTCCCAGACACCATGGCTGACACTGTTTGTTGACTGGAACTAGGGGAAAGTTTCAGAGGGCCTAGGGGCTTCCTCATGGCTCTCTAAATCAAATTGAGTACAGCAGACCTTCACACTATTAATACCGCTCCTTGTTCCCTTCCCCTCTCTCCACCCCCTCCCAAGAAAACCTATTTGGAGCTAACAGAGGTTTGTTCTGAGAATTTCATTATCATTGTGCCATTCATAATTTATCACTTAACCTCTGTGGATGGCAGGGAGTGCGGTTTTGAACAGTCCCACTGGAATTAAACCACAGGGTTAATAATCTCTGCTCTTTGTGAGTAATTGGGAAAATGGTATCTTGGTAACAAGACATTAGCAGAAAACTAGTTTGTACCAATTTCGCTAGAATAGAGGAAGACGAGTAGTGACTAGAATAATTTCATTGTGAGTTTCGCTTTCCCTGACTGATGCTGACCAATGGACGGAGGCAGGGCAGGGACACACCTGTGGGCTCCTCTCTCT